AAGGGTCCATATAAAATCAGAAAGTTGCTATATATATATATACGACTTGAATTGCAAAAAAAATCCATTTAATTTATTAAATTTCAAACATATTATTTATATACTACAATCTATTGTCGTCAATTATTTTTTCAACACATTCATAAACAGTTGATACTTAATAATATTTTTTAAAATTTTTATTGCATATGTTTGCTCTCCATACTTTGAATGATTACCACGTGGCAGAAACAAAACCATTATAAGTGCATTGTATGTAATACAAATTTAAAAAAATATTAGAAGAAAGTGTATTTTCTTAAGTGTACAATTTTGAAGTTCAAAATTAATCAAATGGCAATGCTTTCAATATTTAAAATAACATTTTTTTGAGGAGATTTGTTAATTCATATCAGACATAAAAACCACAGCATACAAAAATGTACTTTTATCATGAATGTAAATCTGAAGCCTCTAAGTCATGTATTTAAATGAATAGAATAAAAAGATATAAAGAGTTTGAAAAGTTAAGAAAGAGCTCATTTGAAACCAATTCTAACCTAATATCCTACTTTAAACCATTCCAACCTCCTGTAATGTTCAACATTCCCCTCAAACCTACATCTTTACAGGGTGACTGAGAAAAAATCACAGGAGATCTAGAGACCTTTGGAAAAGGAAGACGACATAGTTTTACAAGTAGCATAAACAAATGAAATGGTCTGTGCACACTACACAATTTGTCTCATCTAAGGTGGTATAAACAATTATATCAATATAATGAATACAAATGTTTTATTAAAGTTAACCATGCTTTACAAGTTTACAAGTATTTCAAGAGAATCGGTTTTAATTGACAGCTTCTTTTAGATTATACATGTTTTTGTGTATCCATGCTCTTTGAAAGTTTGATATAAATCAAAATTGGAATCAAAATTTGACTCCTTTAGATTGAAGCCTACCACTGTAATATTTAAAGTCATAACTCAAGAGTCTAAAATTCGTCTTACTGTAAACCCACCAAGGGTTATACACCCAATTTAAATAATCTCATAAGTTCATAACTCCCAGTCGGAGAAATGATGTACATAACAAATACAATCTAAACATAAAGCCTAACAACTCTGGGGTCAGTATTGAACTCAACGGTAATTTTACAACTTTGTAAAGACAAGTCAGGCCAAGGGGTGCAATGAACCCAGAGAAGAGGCAGCCTGACAACAAACTTTAGAGAGTATCAAACCCTTCCTTATCAAGTATTGAGGAATAACATGATGCTGGAGAAAGAAGTAACAGGATTATCTGTCGGCAGAGAAAGCAATATAATCCGCCTATTTATGCTGGAGATAAAGTTTAGTCAGCACCAAGCATCTGAAGAGAAGAGTCAAATGAAAAAAATACTCGTCCTTTAGGCAAAAGTTGGTCCAATTGTTTGTATAATTATATTGTAAATATATGTGTATGTGTGTGCAACCATGCATTATTTTTCAACTCAATCTTGGCTTATTTATACAGAGTTCTTTTCAAGTTTACATTACTAGTACAGAGTGTTCTAGTTCTCACACTAAGAGTCAATTTTATGACGTCGCAGATATACAGAATGGTATGATATTAATATTTAATTATTTCTTTGCTCCCACTCTAAAATAAAACTTAGTTTATTATAATCGCAGCTGTCAGACCTGGAGGCCTAGATCACGGCAAATTAAAGTAAATTGCACAAACGCTTGAAATCTAAAATGTTTTTAATCATAAAATCACATATGGAGGAGCTATCAAGGAAAGAAAAGAATGCTGTGAATTTCTAGTGCACCTTTCTAATGAACTGGATTCCTTTGCTTACAAATCAAACTTGGAGAAGCTCCGAGGTCACAAATCCGTACTAGTAATGTCACAGAAGTTTGACCTTCTCTTAGTTGACAGTAGGTTAATTGTTTTGAATGTCTTCTTCTATAAACTATAATAGATATTAAAGAATTTTTGCAGATTATTTAGTTGAAACAAAGGAAAAATGCAGGTAAACCGCTGTCATTTGGGTTGAGTAATAAGAAACAAAAATTCAATATATCACTATAGTTTCAGAAGAAGTAAATATTTCCATTTACTGATTTAAGGATTCATAACTCTGATTGGATAATGAGATAGATAGAAAGATAGATATTACCGCCATACTATTCCATTGGTTCAGAATAGACAACAAGCACATGACTGAACCCTGATTGGATCAGGCGCTAACCGACTCGGCATACAAGAGTGATATAAGTAATTTCAAATGTGCAACAAATTTAGCTTGAAACCCTGCAGCAACAAATTTTAAATAGATAATTATTCAAATCTCCCGAATATAGAACCGCCCTACACCATCTAGTTTTAGGAACCCCCCTGCACAATCTAGTTTTAGGAACTCCCCTGCTCTATATAGTTTTAGGAACCACCTGCACCATCTAGTTTTAGGAACCCCCTGCACCATCTAGTTTAAGGAACCCCCCTACAACATCTAGTTTTAGGAACCCCCCTGAACCATCTAGTTTTAGTATTTGAAATTTCATCATATTCCCAGCAGGTGGATTCATTTACACAGATAAGCCTAGATTCAATGGATTCACGCCAACCTAAAGTAAGTTCATACTGATAAACCTAGATTCCATGGAGTCACGCCAACCTAAAGTAAATTTATACATATAAACCTAGATTCCATGGAGTCACGCCAAACTAAAGTAAATTTACACAGATAAACCTATATTCCATGGAGACAAGCCAACCTAAAGTAAATTTATACAGATAAACCTAGATTCCATGAAGTCACGCCAACCTGAAGTAAATTTATACAGATCAACCTAGATTCCATGGAGTCCCGCCAACCTAAAGTAAATTTATACTGATAAACCTATATTCCATGGAGTCACGCCAACCTAAAGTAAATTTATACATATAAACCTAGATTCCATGGAGTCACGCCAACCTAAAGTAAATTTATACAGATAAACCTAGATTTCATGGAGTCACGCCAAACTAAAGTAAATTTACACAGATAAACCTAGATTCCATGGAGTCACGCCAACCTAAAGTAAATTTATACTGATAAACCTATATTCCATGGAGTCACGCCAAACTAAAGTAAATTTATACAGATCAACCTAGATTCCATGGAGTCACGCCAAACTGAAGTAAATTTACACCAATAAACCTAGATTCCATGGAGTCACGCCAAACTAAAGTAAATTTACACAGATAAACCTATATTCCATGGAGTCACGCCAACCTAAAGTAAATTTATACAGATAAACCTAGATTCCATGGAGTCACGCCAACCTAAAGAAAATTCATACAGATAAACCTAGATTCCATGGAGTATTGCCAACCTAAAGTAAATTTACACAGATAAACCTAGATTCCATGGAGTCACGTCAAACTAAAGTGAATTTAAACAAATAAACCTAGATTCCATTGTGTCACGTCAAACTAAAGTAAATTTATACAGATTAACCTAGATTCCATGGAGTCGCGCCAAACTAAAGTAAATTTATACATATAAACCTAGATTCCATGGAGTCACGCCAAACTAAAGTAAATTTACACAGATAAACCTAGATTCCATGGAGTCACGCCAAAATAAAGTAAATTTACACAGATAAACCTAGATTCCATGGAGTCACGCCAACCTAAAGTAAATTTATACATATAAACCTAGATTCCATGGAGTCACACCAAACTAAAGTAAATTTATACAGATAAACCTAGATTCCATGGAGTCACGCCAAACTAAAGCAAATGTATACAGATAAACCTAGATTCCATGGAGTCACACCAACCTAAAGTAAATTTACACAGATAAACAGTCACGCCAACCTACAGTAAATTTACACAGTCAAATCTAGATTCCAATGAGTCACTCAAAAATGAAGTAAATCTACACAGATATACATAGATTCGCTTTTTTCGCGAAATTTCGCTTTAATCTGTTTCGCATAAAATGCGAAATTTTCAAAAAAATTTCCCATCGTTTTTGCATTTTTTTGCTCAATTAATTTTTGTAAAAATACGATTCAATTCTGGAAGAAATTTGGTTTGAACGTGCAAAAAATTTCGCATTTTCTGCGAAAGTTTTCGTTCGCTGGAAACCCTCTTGTTTAAAAGTTTATAAGCAGAACAAAAATATTTTAATTTATTATATGTAAGCAGTTAAATTCTCTTTTCTCGTAATTGATCGGGAAATCAAAACTATGGAGGTGCAACGGGGTCTAAAAGGTTCTAGAATATTCTAGAACCTTTTAGACCCCGTTGCTCCTCCAGTATTTTAAGCATTTATATCTATTTTTTCGTACCCTGTGAAAAAAATTATGTTTTTATTTTTAGATATAAGATCTACGTTTCTTACTTCTACATGTATTCTTTACCTTGAGTTTTCAGAAAATTTATTTTAAATTTGTCTTTCTTGTTTACTATTGTCAATTGTCGACGCACCAACAAAATTTTATTTGATAGCTGTATTTTTTGTTATATTATTTTTTAAGTCTGAACCCTTGTTTTTCAGAAAAAGCGAGAATAGTTTGCCGGAATTTTCAAGTTTTATTTTCTTGTATTTCTTTTAAAGTTGTTCAAAAAAGGTTTTGTTGACATCATTTGGGAATGGGAAATTCAAAATATTGAAAAAAAAGGTTACTAAAAGGCTTAGCTACATGCATGATTTATGTATTTTTTAACCCTATAAAGGCTGGGAGGTCTGAATCTATTTATAGCTTGAGTGGGGGGGGGGGGTCCCATGCCACCCCGTTGCCTAGAAAAGGCTCTAGATTATAAGTATAGAGATGAAATGCATGTTCATAGCCCAATTTTTCACTGCCATCTAACAGAAAAAAAAATTAGACTGATAACTTTAATAATTTGCTATTTAAATTTTTTTTTTTACAGGGACTAGACTAGACTTTTTATCACCAGCTGTACCCTACCCTATGCATTAAAAAAATATCTTACAAAATATCCTTTAAAATTTATTCATTTAAAGTTAAAAATAATTGCGGTAATAGTGTGAAAAATAAAATTGATAGGGCAAAAAAAAACTGGAGGGGGGGGGGTGCATTAAACGCCCCCCCCCTCAGTCAGTTTAGGGTTTAAAAGATTAAACTGTGACTTAAACTATTACAAATTAGTTTCTTCCCTTATTATAAGATAAAAAAAATTACATTTTGAATTTCTGTAGAAAAAGTATTGTTTTTAAACTATTTTTTAGAATTTTTACGAAAATTTTTTATATTTCCCTTCAATTCCAAGAGATTAATTTATTGATTATTTGCTGGCAAAGTTTGTAATTGTTTTGTCTCTCTTAAGTTTACGGGTACTTTAGTATTAGCAAATAAAGTAATTCAAAAATTGAAAAACAAACGTTTTTGAAAATTAAATACAAAGATGAACGACAAATAAGATAAAAATAAATCAATAGAATTAAAAATATAGCTAAAGACTAATCTTGAGCAGAGGAGTTTCAACTCCAAATACTACAGTGTAAGTACAGAATGTCTTGATAAACATTTTAGTTGAGGTGACTTTACATGTCGTCTTAGATCGATCCTTACTAGCTTTTTACACAAAATGTTGTATGACTTATACGCTTTTAAGTAGACATCAGATTAAATATTGTTTTGGTATTATCACAGACAATCTCAATGTTCCCTCTCAACTGTGATATGTTTAACAGGACACCCTGTATAATAAATACATTATATTGTACAGATAAATAAATGTTTAAATATCACAGACAATCTCAATGTTCCCTCTCAACTGTGATATGTTCAACAGGACACCCTGCATAATAAATACATTATATTGTACAGATAAATAAATGTTTAAATATCACAGACAATCTCAATGTTCCCTCTCAACTGTGATATGTTAAACAGGACACCCTGTATAATAAATACATTATATTGTAAAGATAAATAAATGTTTAAATATCACAGACAATCTCAATGTCCCCTTTCAACTGTGACATGTTTAACAGGATATCCTGTATAATAAATACATTTTATTGTACAGATAAATATATGTTTAAATATCACAGAATGTTCCTTTTTGGATACATTAAATAGAATTGTTAAAGGTTATATACCCGATTCAAAACAGTACCTTTTAAACCTTTCCTTAGCAGCAACTAGTCAGATGCTTAAAAACCTCAATTTGCCTATTAAGCAGGTGGTCATAAAGCCGATACGCTTAACGTTATTTCAAATTACTAAAATGAATGAAATATCAATGTTTTTTCTCTTTTTTTAAATAGACTTTTTGCAGCAGATTATGAACGTAATTTACAGAAAACGACTCTATATCTGATTTATATAAATTACTCTGTTTGAGGTTTTGAAGGTAGACTCAAATTATGTCTCTTTTAACCTTGAAAAGCATTCTTGCAGTACAGTTTTTAATCTAGGGAAGGTTGGGAGAACTATGAGGAGCCATATTTATTAGTTTTTAATCTAGGGAAGGTTGGGAGGAGAACTATGAGGAGCCAGATTTCTTAGTTTCATTACTATCTCCATACCTGGCACACCAAAGGTTATCTAGAAATAAAGTTTTTAATGTTTCAAGACTATATTTTCTAAGAAAAAAAATCTAAGATTTTAGTGTTGCTGATTTTTGACAGAATTTATCTAAATTAGAACTCTGGACAGCGCTCCATTCATTTTTTAATGGAACTTTGATTTAGCAAACTATAAGATTAAGATTAAAAAAGTTTGACCTCCTAGGTCACAAAAAAATCTTGTGTAAATCCGAGTCGTAATTATTCTAGGGTAATAGTAAAAATATAAAGCAAACATAAGATTTTTTGTGAATTGATTTTTTCTTTCACATATAAGTTGATAAAATTAACCCGGATTAAAATTATTTCCATTTATCACTCTTATCTTGCAAAGTCAGGGTTTATACTATAATTTGCAGAACATTGGAGCCATCAAAAGAATTTATGAAATGTCATTTTCTTAACCTACTATTATAATGGAATGCTGCAGATATTTAGTTTTTTATTGAATAATCATAAGCACGGAGCTCTTTAAAACTGTTCCCGCAGTTTTCTTGGCTATTTATTTATTATCAATTAGTGGCATTAAGGTATAATAGTAAAAAACCATTAAAAATTTTATAAATTATTTTGTTGTCTTCAAAGTTCTGGGATAAACTGTAGTTATGATAATGTTAAAATGTAAACCTTTTTTGTCCATCTGTTTTCAATGGTTTGTTTAATATTTCTGTGAAATATGTTTGAGCAATGATCCTCAGACAGAGTTACAAAACCTGTTCCGTTTCTGAGATCTTCAACCTGAAAACAGAAAAAAGAAAATGTCGTCTTTAATTTGATATTAATAAAAGTCGTCTTTTTTAACCAATTTCTTCGAATATTGAGTTTAGACTTGCTAAAATCATTTGATTCTTACATTTTCAAACTAGAAATAATGTGGCTTACGTAGTGTGCAGGCAAGAAAGAAAACGACTTTATAATTATTTAAAATGCTTTCTAAGACATTATTAAATTCTTGAAAATTCTAAAATATAGAAATTTTTACTTTTGACAAATATTGTGACACTTGTTTTTACATCTATGTTTAAAGGGAATTTCAATTATATAAATTTTAGCCCAGTAGATTAAATAATAAAAAAGCTATTAACCATTTCTGATTTTTTTTTTAAAACACCGACCCGCCGTTTGACTGTTCTCTACCTTACCCTATGCATAATAAAGTGTATTTTATTGGCAAAATTTGTTCAAAACTATAAAGTTAAATCGAAAAATTAAGAAGTTTTAACGTTCTAATGTCAGCTGTTTTTGAGTTATTTAGAAAAAAACCACTTAAAATTTTCTCATGTTATGATGCTCTATAAAGTTGTATCGAAAAATTAAGAAGTTTTAACGTCTTATGTCAGCTGTTTTTAAGTTAGGGTCTGTCCTAGTATACGATTTTTGGACCCCCCCCGCCCCCCCCTCCTTTCAATTTTGTACATGACCATTTATTTTTCAGCAAATTTATTATTATTTATTTTTTTGTTATCCAAAAATCGTATACTAGGAAATTACCTTAAGTTATTCAGAAAAAACCACTTAAAATTTTCTCATTCTATGATGCGTTGTAAAGTTGAATCGAAAAGTTAAGAAGTTTTAACGTTCTAATGTCAGCTGTTTTTAAGTTATTTAGAAAAAAACATGTGTCTTTTCTCATGTTATGATGAGTTGTAATTATATAAGATTATGAAAATCTTAGGTAATGTTCAATCACCTGAATAAGACTGCTATAAACGTTCCAAAGCTTAATAGCATGGACTCCACTATCCTTCTCATCATATGCCAGGAAAACCTGAATTATTTTGAGAAATATTAGAAAAAAAACTCAACGAAAATGGTAATTTTTTTCTAGAATTCTGCAGTTTTCTGTGTTTCGAGATCCGATTTACTGCTTGTAACCATTTTAGATCCGTAATATTTACCGCCGTAATATTGATCTTAGATACTTTCACAAAGGCCTACTTCCAAAGGCGACTGCCCAAATGTACAATTTCCCCAGCATAAATTTCCTAATTGTACATTAAAGGCTATCTGAAACACCGTGGAATGCAGTGGGGCGGGCGCTGCGGCTATTACGACAGACTTGGGAAGTTGCTACTTGGGAAATTTCACATGGGGAACATACCATTGGGAAGTTGCCGCTTGTGTAAATGCCTTTGGGAAAAAGTACTTAACATCGTCATTGCCGATGCCAATATAAATATACAAAAATACTTTTTGCATTAAAAATGTATACAATAAATGGTATAAATTGACCAAAATACCCTTTCTTCCGTGAAGTCCTCTGCAAAGATTTTCCCCCACTCTTTTGCCTAAACAGGACACTTTTATTTGTACATACAGTGAGACCCATACAACTCTGGAATAGGAAGATTTTTATATTTTATCCAACCAACATATGCGACACATGCAACGGCTTAGGTTACTTATTAATCATTTGAAATTTTAAGCTACATTTGCCTTTTAACTAAAGTTTTTAACTATTTTGGTTTGTTTAAAAATAAGTTTAGTTACACTCCATCAGTTTGCTTCCATCAGTTTGCTTTTATTAAACTTTGCAATATTTTTAACTTAAAGCAAAAAAATTAAGTTAACCTTTGTTTTTTTGGATATATTTTCTTTTTGGGTCAAAATTTGGCAAAGTGAAAGAAATAGCAAATGTTTATTTTTGTGGAACGTTTTGCACATTTTAACTACATTTAATACGCATTTTAACTACATTTAAACACATTTTTAACTACATTTAATACTGATTTTTAACTGAATTTAACACGCATTTTTACTGCATTTTATATGCATTTTTAACTACATTTAATAAAAATTTTTAACTACATTTAATACTAATTTTCAACTACATTTATTTCGCATTTTTAACTACATTTAATACGCATTTTTAACTACATTTAATACTCATTTTTAACTAAATTTAACACGCATTTTTACTGCATTTTATACGCATTTTTAACTACATTTAATAAAAATTTTTAACTACATTTAATACAAATTTTTAACTACATTTATTTCGCATTTTTAACTACATTTAATACGCATTTTTAACTACATTTAATGTTGGAACCTCTCATATTGTCTTAAAACGATTTAAAAGTCTAAAAACTTTAAAAGTTTCCGTAAACAAATTTGGCTATTGCCCATCCCTATTAGCATGTCAGTTTTTACTGAAGTATTTTTGGTGAGTTACTTTTTTACCTTTAAAGGAAAAAACTGTTTTGTTGGAAATATTCTAAGATTATCTTTACATCGCTGTCCAATTAACACTGTTAGATCATCCTCTCGGCCTTTAAAAACAAATAGTTTTCATCTAAACTTTAAACAACCAGAGCTAGAGATGGGCGCCGATTTGTGAACCAACAATATTTTGTGCATGATGGTGTCGTTCGGGAAAAAAACGATGGAGACACGACTTGGATCATTCAGAGAAATGAAAAAAACAACCGTTTTTTAACGAACTAAAAAGCAAATAACAAATGATTTAAAATTGTTAAAACGAACTTGAAAAAACAAACGCTTTTTACCAAACAAAAAAATTTTCCAAAATATTTTCACAAGAACCGTCGATTCTATAATTAACAGACGATTTTTCGGAACAAACTTTTAAAAAAACCGTTTTACTGAACGAACAATTTTTTTAGACGAACGATTTTTCTCAATAATCGTTCACTGAGAAAACGAAAAAAAACGATAACAAAGCGAATTCACAAACAATAAATAAACAAAATGCAATATACAAAACACCCCCATCTCTAGCCATAGGTCTAAACTTTATTGTTGTACAATGTACATCCCAGGTTAGCAGATATAGCTAGTGCATTGTCCTACATGCTTAATTAATTTCTTTTGAATATTTCGTTGTGATTTCCCTGCATGGCTAATTCAAATTTAGGGATTGCAATTATTTTCTTTATTAAATCAAAGTTGTCAGTGTGTGTTGATTTCGAGATCAAGAGTAGAAGATAAGCGCTATTTTCCACAACACCATAATCATTAGCTTTACTCATTTCTTCAAATCCTGAATATCTTGATCATATCTAATTGAAATCAATTCCTGAAATTACTACAATCAACTCTCAAACTGGCTTGGAAGTGCTTGTGGCAGAGTGCAGGAAACTTTTAAAATAAGTTTAAATGTTCTCAATTGTTTTCAAGGTTTGGGACTGTTTTCTGTATTTTTGTTGCGTCTACCAGTAGTGTTTGAATTTGAACCATACCCGTTTCTTTGACATATATGTCAGGAATTGCTTGTTTTTTAAAAAAGTTTCAAGCTGTTAGCGAAAGAAGCGATGTGGTTACAAAACGATCATGGCGGCTAAGCCCCCCCCCCCATTGACCGTCTTATTTAGGGTTTTTATTAACAACATTATTAATATAAATTGTCTATAACAAATAAATCAGAAAAAGATTCCGTATTACTTACGTTTCTTGCAATCCATACAATCGTAAGATTTTGATTTCCCAATTCGTCTGTATATATAGTTGGCCTTCTCTCCTAGTTTTTACAGGGATATATCTTTAGGTAAATAATTCTTAGTTTGAAAGTACCAACATTTAAACCAATTTTTAATCCAATCGATTCTGATAAGATCGGCAAAACCCGTTATTTTTTCAGGGGTAATTATTGGTTTAAGTATAATCGCGCCTCACGACCTTAAGTAAAAATAAAGGTATTTTTTCTATTTTCAGATCGTTAAACAATCCCTCCAAGGTTTAAAGTATAAGCAGTGAAACCACAAATTTGTTACTTCGGAAGACGACTGTTCGGTTCAATTTACGTAAATAATTTAATAAGTTCATTGTCATATTGCTATTAGAAATTTTTGCTTATAACATCAAACACTCATTAAAATTGCTGAAATGTCGTCTTCCTATTCAACGCTTGAAATGTCGTTTTCCTGTACCTGGTTCTCGTCCCCCTCCCGCCTCTATTTCCTCAGAGCAGTATTCACTCAGAGTCTCAGTAAAGTCTTCATTGCTCCATTCATTTCTTGAAAATATTCATTTAGTTTAAGTGTAGACTTTGCTTCGTATGTATTAAGGATGACTAGGATATCCTTATTTTTCACTCCGAAAACTAATAATCTATAGTTTTGGTTGTAGATGGGAGGATTTGCTTACATTACAAGTCAGAGAATCTTAAATTTAGTATGCATTTTTTGTATTTTCTACGGTGGTAGGGGATTATATGAAGATTATATAAAGACGACTTTTTTATTACAGTATTAATTGTAAACAAGCTTTTTTCGAATCACAATTAATCAAAGAAAAGCTTTTATAATCGACAGCTTCTCTTGACTTTTATGATTATGTTAAAACAGGTTGATTTTAATTTAATTTAATTTAAATTGCAAGTCGTTTGTATTGTATTGATATTATCGCCCACCACTGTATACTTCATACTTTTTGTTATGCAGTATACATTTTGAATATTAAAATACATTAAGTCTTTTTACGCTATTTTGACAAGTTTAGAGTATATAAGAGATATAATTATAAAAACAAATATTCCAATGCGGAGAGAGTATTTGGTTTGGTTCACGTGCTTTGAAACATATCTTGTGAACTAGACAGATAAAGAAGGTTAAATTTGATTTTATGTCAAAGTATTAGAAAATTAAATTATTCGGATTCATACCGTTTTTATTCTTCGCAATAGCTCTTTTACAGTTCTTTTACAATTGACGGAAATACGATTAAATTCTATCTTAAAGAATCCTATGTTCTAATTATTTTCGTATGACATGAGCAAGATAAAATGAATTTTAAGGACAGAAAGTGTAGTTTCAAGTGACCTTCCATGCAAAGATGGCAATGCATGATTAACATTAACATCTGTTTCTGATCAAGTATGAGTTAGATTTCAACAAATAGGTTGTCAAGTACAATAGATGGCAACACAGAATGCGTACACTTTCAGTACAGCTGTTTAAACGTCATAAGTGTCAACTCAAATTTTCTGTCTGACAAAACTATAAATAATAGTGATATTTTTAGACTAAAGTGCTTATCTTTTAGTGAAATTAGTGCAATTTTATGTGTTCTTTATTTCTGTTTTTACACTTTTTCATTTAACGTTCAATAGACTAAATAACAGGGTTGAAACTGATATTGTACATAACCCTTTAACATTGTAATTCGTTGTTGTGTATGATGATATAATGTGCATACTTCAGTCATTGTTTAACCCACTAAAACTTCGTCACTTTTAAAACAAGGTAATCCAAATGAATTTTTGTAAAATTCGTAGAAAAGTATGAGTGTTTCAAAAAGTTAGAAGTCTAAATTTTTAAAAAAATTAACTGGCTTTAGAAATTGAACAGTAAACCTTTAATAACCCTAGAAATATTTTTAAAATATTTTTTACGTATTCCTACAAAGACGACATTTACCTCCACCGAATCTTGGAAATAATACCAACTAATTAGAGGACATGTCGTCTTTCTTTTTTCATTTGACACATATGACGTTGTGCGCAGTTGGTCGATTTTTCTGTTGCCATCTATTGTACTTGACAACCTATTTGGATTTCAATGTGTTTGTTTCTTTAAGCTGTTCATTTTTATTTGCAGATTTTCTACAGAAGTGACTTGCGCATTTTTATGTTTATCAGAAGCAATGGAGAAACAGACTCTTTAATTAGGTATGCATGAAATAAACCTGTTAGTTGGATCATAGTTGATGTAAAAGAATCCCAATAAGCTGTTCAGAAAAGGATGATGCCTACTTAACTTAACAACTCCAGAACTAATTCCCTAAAACATTTAAAATAAGTTTATTCTTTATTTTCCTTATCAAAAATCAGTCAGAAAAAAATTAAAGCTACAGTCAAAAGCATTGAATTACTAGAAAAATTGGCGCGTACCCCTAAAGATTAGTAAACTTTAATTCAATCTTTATTTTAAAGATTTTAAAATTTTTTTTAGTAAATTCTCTAAAACTTACCCTTCCTGGATCTGTGTTTTCTATGACTAAATATGACGAGTTTAATCCGTAAATGGGTTTGAGGATTAATAAATCCGTATCCAATACCATCCCACCATACTTCCATAGCCAAGCCATTCCAAGTAATCTAAGTTACAAAAGTTCAAGAAACTATTTTCTTACTGCAGATATGATTACTGGAAGAACTAATTTTGGAAATGCAGAGTCCAGAAAAACTAAATCTAAATGAATAATGCAAAATAGAAAACTTCATTTATCAAAGTAATTTTGTTATTTAAAAAATATTTGATAATCTACGATCATTTGTTTAATTAATGGTATTGTGAACTTAACGTTATTGTGTTTTTCATATCAATATACAATACTACAGTGTTGAAATAGGAAGACGGCTTTTAGATTCAAGTTTTAAGTTTTATGAGTCCAATGCAAGCATGCAACCAGTTTACGGTGTAAATTTCACTTAATTAGTGATTTGATAAGTGTCTACTAAAACTATATTCTTTGTGAAAACATCAAATTCACTTAAGTATTGCTGTAAAGTCATCGTCCTTTGTCCGAATTTAATAAATTCAAGCCAAGTCTCAAATCCCTCAAAAACCGGTTTTAATTGACCGCCGGCTTAAATCTTGAAAAATTTAATACAAATTTAAGTGAAACCAATATTTAAGCCGCGGCTTAAATATAAACTGCGGCTCAAATTCTTTAAATTCGGCCTCAGGTCACTGTAGATAAAATGACTTTTTGAATTTTAATTTGTTAAAAAAATCATATTCTAAATTATATGTTATTCTTGAAATTGATATTATAATAGGACTGTACTATACAATATCTTTTATTATTCTCTAGGTATCAAACAACTTGATAAACTATGGAAAAAGAAAATTTTAATGAGCTTAATAAAACTTTCTTATCATGTTTGTAAACTTTAAAGATATTTTCAAAAAAAGTAAATTTTGGGGCTTTTTTGGAAGAATTTTCTCATACATAATTATATGGAATAAAATGTCGTCTTGACACTTGACAATTTTTTGGTTGCAGTGCGTAACAGGAACTGTACTGTATACTTGATATCACGTTATGTTCATTTATAGATTAACAAAGATGCCATTTTCAACATGTATCTGAGTGAATATAAGTTTTTTAACCTTAACAGAACTTAATTATTATATTTTTCTACATCGTCTCTGCTGCAATACTTCCGTAACTTTAACAGGTGAACCACACTTGAAGTCTAACTATTCAGTTTTGAATTAGAAAACTTTAGATATTTTAGAATCTAATGCTATTTTGATCAGAAATAGAAATAACGTTAACAAATACAAAAATTCACCTTGACAAATGTTGATTTTTAAAGGCTGTAGTTTCCACGTTCTCTCTGCATGACATTCATTCATTATTTTGAAAACTTTTCATCGCAAAATTGGATTCTTTAAAACAATTTAAGATATATTTTTTTATTAAACAAATTATTAATCCTTGGTTTAAGTATTTACACTGTACAGTGTACACTGCACATGTGAAACACATACGGAGCTGGGAACTTTAGAATGGTGGATATCAGTCTTGAGATTAAATATTTAGACAAACAAATTGGATTCTAAGAACGCCTGATTTGTTTGTTTTCTTGACTGAAAGGGCCCTCACTCACCCATTTGTTTATTAATACATTAGTTAAAATTGGTTACAAAAGAATCTCAAACATATTATCAAATATTTTTCTTGACCGATTAATTTACAAAATGGCCGACAACAAATTCTTGATTAGTTAGAAATTGCGGATTTCTCTCAGGGATAGAATTTATTCTCAAGGCTGTCATTGGTAATACAATTTACAAACTATATTCCTGCACTCTCGTTGGAGAAAATAATATAAGGATATCCAAAGAGAGAGAAAAAGAGTTTATTAAGGATTAAGATTCAAAGTTTCCACAGTGGATATTCGGATTAAGAAGGTGGGATTAAAGGTTATCCATTCTAAAGTTCCCAGCTCGGATTATTCAAATAAACAAGACTCTTCTAGGGAACTTTATGTAGGGTAGAGGGGGTCGCTGAAAATTCAGCTTAAAAATAAACGAATTTGAAAATCAGCAGATTAAGATATCAACGGTTAAATTGATTGAGTATGCAGGGATCATAAATTGAATGAATGAATGACAACCTCCACTGTTCCCAGATATGGTTTAAGGGATCCTCACTGTTTAGTCGTAAAATAAAAATTTGTTAATTAATAATGTACAATCCGTGGACCGGAGTCCGAACTTAAAAAATTTGAGCCGTGTCTGAAAATGGGGGAATTCCGGTTTAAATTGAGCGCGGGCTTAAATCTTAAAACTTGAGGACAATTTAAAGTGGAACCAACCATATATGTCCAACATTGTGTTGAAATGGTTAAAAAAATGATTTTCAAATTTCAATACTCCAATGTGCATGAAACAAGGCAATATTGCATTGTACACACTACAAATTTAATGTTACTGATACAAATTATTTGCTTTATAAAAATTCAAATATATATATGTTATATAACTATAGTTAAACCCTAAATTAGCCATACATCGAAAAAATTCATCAAATGACGTATTCTTCACTTTTTGATAATTGAATGTTGCAGATTTTTAGTTTTTTAATTGAATGCTTATATGGAGCTCTTGAAAAATGTTCCCGCATATTTATGGCTATTCATTTATTTTCGCAAATACTATGATTTATGTAAAGTAGTATAAAAACCCATTGAACAAATTTTCAAGACGACATTTGATAAATTCTTTCGATGTATGGCTCATTTAGGGTTTAACAGTACCAAGTTTATAAATATCATAAACCAGTAAAGGAGGAGTTTCATTAGAGAAATAATATCTTGAGTTTAACAGTCGTATTCCTATTCCACAGTTTTATAGTTCTCATGTAAAAAGTATGTACGTTGAGTGAATACGATGAATTTAGCAACAAAATTATCATATTTTCGAAATTTGGTTGAATTTATATTTTTCCTAAATAAGAAGTCTGGATCTACGTAAACTATTTCCAGGTTGTCCCTATTCCTTAATTCTCCTTTTAACACAGTTACATGAGCATCCTGCAAATTGATAATATTAAAACTGCAACCTCCAGAAACTTTTATATTAAAATTGCAACCTCTAGCTACAGTTTTTACTAATATCAATATTATATTTTTCTTCCAAAAACATTTTTATCTGGATCGCAAATTCTCTCTACAAAACATAATAAGAATTAAAATTGTATCAATTTTCTAAAAATGATAGAATCAAAATTGCATTTACCTAAAAAAGGTGGTTTAAAATTAAACCCCTTTTCAGAAATTGTCGTTAAAATTGCAAACTTTTACAAAAATTACAATTATAAAAAAGACCCATATTTATTGTTCAAAATGCATTATTAAAATTACATCATTATAAAAACTAATTTTGCAGACAAATTTCGACCCTACTCTCTCATCTTGAATTATTTCATTTTCTTATCAAACTTTTTAACCAAAACCATTTAGAGTTTGTCTTTCCTCTTAGAATTAAAAAATAAATAAAAAAATGAAATTACATTTTTCTACAAAAAATCAACAAATTTTATACCTTTAAAACTCCCAGGCAAACTTTTCTATCCTCATGGTGAAAAGCAACAGAATCTATACTGCAAGCCTAACACATTAATTGCATATTAGGGCAGCAAAAACAAGAAAGAAATCTAACGCTATATTCACGGGCAGTCGTAGTACATTTGAATTTCCGAGCCAGGTCAACCTTTCCGGTCTCAGTTTGTTCTGTATCGCCCGGACATTGGGTAAATAAAGCAGATACTCAATAGGACTAGCCAGTGCAACAAGGTTGACGTTGTCAGACTTTAGGTTGAATTAACTTTTACTAAAGGGTCAGGGGTGCGTGTATTCATAATTTTTTCTAATTGTTAAACTGAAAGGTTTAATTGGTACCGTTGTTTAAGTATTTAAAACTAAACCGTCTGCACCTTACATTTATAGAAAAAGGCTTTTAGGATGCTTCGCGCCCATCTTCTATTTCAGTTGTGAACATGTTCTCTTTGTATACATTGTAAAACAAAGAATTCGCGGATTTTATAAAAAAACGTGAAAATTTAAAATTTTCAAAATTCGAATTTTGTTAGAGACAAATTTTTGAAAATTCGATCATCCATTATTCTTCCTTGGGATCACTTTTATATAAACACTTTAAAAATAATTCTTGGTAAATTTAAAAAGTTTGATTAATCTTACCTGGACTATGGAAAGTTTTGGTGAACTATCAACATGCATCATAAATATGTCACACTTTTCAAGCTAAATATAAATAAATAGATATTAACCCTATCACGGTTGGGGAGGGGGGGGGGGGGGATTTCAACCCCCCCTTTGGTTTTTTTCTTAACAACTTTTATATAGCTTATCATTACATCCTAACCATTAAAGTTAGAGGTCTAATTTTTCCTTAACGAGCAGGCCTTGAAAATTTAGACTAAGGTTGTCCTAATAAACATGGGAATTCAGTGACGAATTCGATATCGTCTTTTCAAATAATTCTTTGATTTAGTATAGTGATACCTACTGAGAAAGCTGTAATCTGTAAGAGTTTCGTCTGCTATGTTCACATTTGTTTGTTTATGTTTTGACTGCATACATTAGGGTGTACTTAGTAAAACAAAAAAATTGCAGTATACAAACAGAGTAAACTTGTCCGTCTTCTTTGTTCATCTTGCGGAGGCATAATAGACACAACATTTGCAGTCTTTTACCCTTTTCATAAAATAAACTCTAGCAGACTTAATTATAATATCATGGCTTTTGAAATTAGGTATTACAATGCTAATTCATAACAAAGACGATATCCAATTCGTCACTGAATTCCCATGTTTTTTGGGACACCCCAATGACCCAAAACTCATCGTTTTTAAGGCCTTTTGGATAGCGTTGATTAATAGTTTAATTGAACAAAAATTCGGTGTAATTCAATGACGATTTTCATTTCCATTACCTTACTAAATTCTAATGGTGGTGGTCCATTCTTAAATCCGTCTGCTACGTAATGGAACAAGAAGATGAAGGTGAAAGCAAACAGCTGAAATGAAAACTAAATTAATTTGATATCCAAGCATGTATAGTTTCAGTAGAAACCATTTACTGATGTAGCGCCGATATAAGGATTTCTCTCTTATTGGATAATGAGCTAGATAGAAAGATAGATGTTACCGCCATTTCTATTGGTTCAGAATAGACACCGAACACATGGCTGAACCCTGATTGAATCAGGCGCTAATGGACTCGGCATGCTGGAGGGATTATAAGACAGATGTAGTAAGAAAATTGAACTAATTTTTTTTCTTGAAATATTTTTTGGCTTCAATTCTAACAGAGTTTGACAGTCATCTAACTAGTAGCAGCTAAAGTGTAAAGATTTATTAACAGGAGTTACATTTGACCTTTCTGTGTTTTATTCCTCTATTGGCAGCCTTTTAAATACGAACTAGTGGTTTTCTGTTTAGTGAACCAAAAAATGGCATCTTGAAACTACAGCGCTAGACCTAGAAAACTGAAAATTATAAAGACAGCTGTTAAGGCCGGTCAACTTATGATTTTAACCCTATTCCTGCTGGGGTACTTGAAAACCAGGATATGCTGGGGGGGTCAATTTGACCCCCCCCCCTCTAAATCCCCTTTTTGATGTTCAAATATGACAAATGATACATCATTTGAAAGCTCTTATGCTCTACTTTAAGAATCTGCAAAAAATTTACAAATTTGCAAAAATAGATTTTTTTGCAAATTCCAATTATACACTAAAAATGCTTGCAAAAAAATGTCCAATATACATTTTTTTAAAGCCCTTGACCCTGCCATTTCAATTAATTTAATTTTAAATAACCTGATGTGTAATTAAGAAAGAAAAAAATATGCAAATTTCTTTGCAAATAATTCGCAAAAATTTCTTTGTAAAACTTGTGCAATCCGTTTCCTTAAGTCATAGGCTTTTCAAAAAGCTAAAAATTATCAAACTTAAAAACTGAAAGTGGGTCAAAACAAAGATTTAGTTTGTTTCTGGAAAAAAAGTAGTCATTCAAGCAGTGTGCTTCAGGACTCAGGCAGTTATAATTAAAGCCCGATTTTAGACCTATAGGGGGGGGGGCTATGAATATTTAGGAAAATTTAAAGAAAATTCCAACAGCCTCAGACAAATACTTTTTGATTTATGTAAAAAAAAACCTGCATAGAGGGGGGGGGGGTAAAATGCCACCCCCCCAAAAGAATAGAGTTAAATCATCCAATTGAAACACGAAGGAAAAAGGAACGTGAACGTGCAGCGTTACAGACCCATTTCACATAGTTTAGTTTCAAACATCAAGCAAAACTGCAACATTTCAATACATCAAATATATAAAATATTTATAAAATGTCTTCTTGATTTTCTACTATTCTTTTTGTCTCACTGTATTACAAAAAAAGTGTTACTCACCATGAATTTGAAAATATTTGTTGCAACTGGTTTCTGAAGAATCCACAAGATTACCAGGGGCCAATACCAGCACCCCCCTCTACTTCCCCCACTATTAATAATATGGTAATATGGTAGAGTGGTAGGCGATTATATCAATACAATGAAGCCAATTTCAATCTTTTCAAATCTTCGAAATTTCAAACTTAGATTTTTTAATCTATCAGACTTCATAGTTTGAAATACCTACGGTCTAAGACATTGGGTTGTAAAGATATAGGGATTAGAAAAATGAGTTTGTGGCAATAACTCAATTCCTGTAAAAATACTTAGAATTTATTAAAATTATTTTTTCCATGTTTTTGGCGCAAAATCGTCGAACATATACAATATACAATATCTTTTATAAGTTATGTATTAGTATCTACATTCAATCACTTACATTCAATTTAAATATATACAAATGATGAAACTAAAATAGCTACGTTTTTCGTTTGACCGTAAAAACTGTTAAGATAATCTAATTTTTATGTTAGATTGCACTTGCAATGAGATACGTGTGGACAAGGATGACGACTTTTAGCAATTGTGCAGTGTATGCAGACACAGTTCAATTAATAAGTTAATTTTTAACCTACAAATTAAACTATTTGCTCTAAAACAACATATATGTAAAGTCGTCTTCCCAGTCCACAGTTTTATCGGTCTCGCTGATGTTTATAACTTTGTTTTTACATTAAAAAATAAAGTAAAAATACTAATATTTGTTTAATCACCTTTGTCTACGTGGTTTCATCGTATACGTTTAATACTGAGCTTTACTTTAGGAAAGCTAGGAAAAAAAACATAGTTCATAAATTCTTAAAATATCATGCTTCTAAACCAGGGTCGTAGTGGAGGTTTAGCCTAGGGGGGTGCACTTTTGGCGCTCGTTAGCGCGTCAAAAAAAAAATTTTGTGCACCCCCCTTATAAAACCCGTATTAGGAAAAAAATTAAAGCTTACAATCTATATTAATCTACCCTGAACATAATTACCAATCATACCATTATAAAATCTAGTAGTAAAAGAGCAAAAAACTTTGATTTGAGGTAAAAAAACATCATTTTTTAAATGTTGAAGGGTTGACTCAGTGCTCAATAATATACAGTGAAACCCTTAATAACGAATACATCGAAAGATTTCATCTAATGTCGTATTCTTCACTTTCTGATAATGGAATGTTGTAGATATTTAGTTTTTTAATTAAATGATTATATGGAACTTTTTAAAACTGTTCCCGCATATTTATGGATATTTATTTATTTTCGCAAATACTGAAATCTACGTAATATAGTATAAAACTCATTGAAAAATTGTCAAGACGACATTTGATAAATTCTTCCTATGTATTCGTCATTAAGGGTTTCACTGTACCAAATTATTTTAATATTGATGGCTTGTTGTTGTGTTTACTTCAAACAGCTTAAAAATGTATACTGTCAACAGGTTGTTAAACCATAACCTGGATCTGGATGAGTCATTTATTGAGACATGTGCGCGAAGCGCCAACAAAATTCTGTTATTTTGGCGTCTTTTCGTGTATTTCTTAATGTCTCTGATTCCCTGGCTTAGTCATATTCATTATGTATATATAGAGTCCCCTATTACGAGCAGGATTAGATGGAAGGTGTTTTTTGCTGAAACTATTTTACGCCATTATACTGTCAAAAGTTTAAAAGCTTTCATATTTATGCAATATATGGCATGCAAGAAATATTACTTAATTTCGTATTTATGCACAATATCTGCAGTACAAAAATTTAAATTTTTCGTATTTGTGGACATTGGACAATTGCATGCAAAAATTACCTGTATTCAAGCGCAATATCATAAAAAATTCTGACTAAATTAATTTTGTATTTTTACGAAATTTTGTCCAAAAAAGTTAATTCATCTCGTATGAAATCGCAATTTCGTGGAAAACTGTTTTCATATTGATAATTGTTATAAAAACATTTTTCAGTTAAAAAACGCAGTTGGAGCTATATCAATAATATAAAAATCTGAAAAATTTATAAAATCTACGATTTTGTAAGTACAAAACAATGTATTTAAAATCATGATAGTGGGATTAAAATTTGGATCTCATCAAAAAGTATAAAAAGAAAAGAAAAATTATCAATTCAATGAACTTTATAAGTTTCCTCAAAATTATTCTCTGAATCTAATTTGAAAAAATTAAAAATCAGAAGAATTAATTTTTTTCTCTGAACGCTCTCATTTGCCAAAAGCAGTATTAACAAAACTTTTAAAGCATGAAATGTTCAATAAACTGAAACAAGGATAATATTGAAAGGAATTGAGTCTTTGCTACAAACTCTTATTTTTTAATCCCTATATCTTTATAACTCAATATCGTAGACCTTAGACATTTCAAACTATAAATTGTGTTTGTTAAAGTAATCTACGTTTGAAATATAAAAGGTTTACACCATTAGGTTGCCAAGATTTAAGCATTGTAAAATTTTAGTTTGTGACAAAAACTCATTTTCTTTTAAAGAATAAAAATCAATTGAAAAAGATAGACAAATAAAACTTAATGTATGTGTTTATAACCTACAGCTGAAAGTTTCTGTCAAATATTCCTTTTAGACTCTTAAATTTGCATTTAATTTTCTATTTTCCAATTGAAAGGGTGGTTGCTGTAAACAAGGTAAACTGGAGGAATGTGCAAAATGTCTATCCCTGTAGACAGATGTCACCTAATTGGTCATGTACTAGACTCCAGATAGTACATTCTAATCTATAATAGATTTCTGTACTCTCTTATCTGCAGATCTCTCTGTAGATATATGTCTCCTAATTGGTCATGTACTCCAGATAGTACATTCTAATCTATAATAGATTTCTGTACTCTCTTATCTCTGCAGATCTCTCTGTAGATAGATGTCTTCTAATTGGTCATGTACTAGACTCCAGATAGTACATTCTAATCCATAATAGATTTCTGTACTCTCTTATCTCTGCAGATCTCCCTGCATATAGATGTCACCTAATTGGTCATGTACTAGACTCCAGATAGTACATTCTAATCTTTAATAGATTTCTGTACTCTCTTATCTCTGCAGGTCTCTCTGATTTAATCAACTTGCAATCACGATGATGAGTGTATAGACATATTTGATATGAGCTCCCATGTTCAAAGGGTTTATATAATAATATGGTTTGATTTGTATAAATATTATACATGTTCCATGTAATTCCAGGCAACTACGAAAATTATGCATAATTGTTGACAGGTTGACTTCGAAGTGTACCAACGTCATAGCTTGCCTTGTAGCATTATCATACTGTAAATTTTATTGTTGTTGACCTAAAGGTGCACATTTTAAAACTACATCACACTTTTTACTAGGTTCAGTTTAATACGAGTAATTGGCAAAATTCTGATAGATGTTTTGGTTAACTGGGGTTCCGCTAACAAACAGAATTTTTAAATTTAACAAAAATTATGTTTTAAACATCTGTTACGATATTTGTCTGCAGCCTTGTACTTAATCTAAACTGAAAATAGAACTTTTTGAATCAAAAACCAAATATCAGTTTATAAGATGGCTACAATGCTTGGTACAAAGAAATTAAGTCTTTGCCAAAAACTCTGATTTTCTAATCACTATAAGTTTGGAACCAAATGTTGTAGACCTTAGATATTTCAAACTATGAATTTGTTTGATCAAATAACGTTTGTTTGAAATGTTTGAAAGGTTTATAATATCAGATTTTAAAGATATAGGAGTTTGAATATTTGAGTTTGTGGCAAAGACTCAGTTGTTTTGTCGAAGTAAAATTGATGAAAATGAACCAAAAATTCAGGACAAACATTAGACTTTTAATTTTGTTATTTATATAAATGCGAATGAAAGAATTGAAAAAAAGTCAATGATGTTTTGTAGAAAAAAAGATATTTAGATTTTGGCAAAATGTTATTTTTTTAATATTTTTTTTAACTTAGTTAAAACATTTAATCATTTTGTTGTACACAGTTAATTTTACTCATAATTTTTGTTACGCGAGCCATGCTCCGTGTATAAAGTCTAGTTGATGCCCCTGTGAGTTTCTGAGTTCTCCCTGTGGATCTGTACAGAACGTATTGTGAAAAACTAGTTTTAAAAGCTGTTTACAGACTGACTACGCAGGCGCAAGATTTCTCGCGTGGGAGTGATTGGAAGAGGAGTCTGAGGGTTTGAGGAAGTGTGAGGAGGAGTTGAGAGTGAGAAGGATGAGAGTTGATCGCTTGACCAAGCTTTCAGAAGACTGGGAGTATGAGGAGCGAACTCGGTGGAGAGAGGAAGTTCCTCTACCCAATCCCAAGGTGAGGTCTGGGGTGAAGCGGAAGAAGAGTTCTAAGCCGGGGAAGCTGAAGAGGTTGAGGATGAGGAGCTCAAGGGAGAGTGTGGCTGAGTCTGCTGCTGAGGAACCGGTTGGTCTCTCTCTGTCCCAGCCTTCTCCTGGTTCATCCAGAGGTAGGAGTGGGTTCGGAGGGAGTGCCTCCGGGCCTCTGCAGGAGGATGGATCTGAGGAGGTGGTGATGTTGGATGAGGAGGATGATGTGTTCTTGGAGGCTGAGGAGGGGAGGGCAGAAGATGTTGCTTCTCCTGAGAGGATGAGCGCAGCCTTGAGGTTCTCCAGGAGTGTTGTAGAGCTAACCCCGACCTATGATGAGACGATTGAGGGATCGGCTAGGGTTTCGCTGCTGGAGGAGATGGCTCTAGAGTTGGATGTTCGCTGGGAGGACAGGATGGTTTAAACCTTGTGTGGTTAAGTGAATCCAAACTCTGAAAGATCCCAGTGTTTATATTTCAGGTCTCATTTAGCTGTCAGGAGTTCAGGTCGCGGGGTGCAGAAGACCTTTTTCGTTTGCTCTTGGCTGGGCGAGTGTTACGGGAGCCATGCTCCGTGTATAAGTCTAGTTGATGCCCCTGTGAGTTTCTGAGTTCTCCCTGTGGATCTGTACAGAACGTATTGTGAAAAACTAGTTTTAGAAGCTGTTTACAGACTGACTACGCAGGCGCAAGATTTCTCGCGTGGGAGTGAACAGTTTTATATTAGTATATGTTTATTTGTCTTGCAAGTTTAACCGTGTCCAGAATTCTGGGATCAGTGTGGTAATTATTTCTTATATTTACGTATGCTTATCGGTTGATTGTAGTATGATTGATATTTTATATGTGTTTGTTGGTTCCTTGCCACAGTTTTTTAATGCCTGAGTGGATTTTTTTTTGTATTGGTATGATTTATCACTCAAAGCTTTTTCTGTGGGTTTATTAAACTTATTTAGATTGAAGACTCAGAGAAATAAACGTTCGGAACCTTATTATCATCCTTTTGTTATGAAGAGCGTTGAGAGAAGGAAGTCTTACGATCCGGTCTTGAGAAATACCACACGGTACATATGTTAGGTCTTTAGGGAAATCGCTAAGTAGCGAAACAATTTTTTTTCTTTATTTTTCAGAAAATTTTATCCAGGATTTATAATTATCACATTATTAATCATCATAGATTAGAACATTTCCTCCCTATAATTCGGGTATTTAATACTGCCAATTTGGGTCAAAATGAACTTTTTGCTGTAATTAGTTTAAGGTCAGAGTTTTCCAAAACTTAATAAAAAAAGGAAGAAATAAGCACCAACATTAAACTTGTATCAAATATCCAATTGTCTGTGCAAGTAATGTGTGCAGCAGAGAATCATGCAGATACAGAGAGGGAGGCATGTAATTAGCTATTTATAAAATACTAATAATGATAAGATTACTGCTTTGTCCAGCAACATTTATACACCCATGATAAATGATATAATTTAAAACTTTTAAATTATTAATCCATTATAACTCCTCAACCACTTTTATGTCTTGTCCTTTCCATTCTATAGATTATGACATTTATGAAAAATATATTAACAACTATTTATTGATTTGTTAAGTATCATAATGGAAGATGCATGCACAAGAAGAAACATGGAGAACAAGATCTGCTTTCACACTAAAAATTTGAAACTACCTAATTTAAAGTTGTTTTTATTCAGGCAAACCGTTGGATGTGCTTCTACCTTGTCACTGGGCTACTATACAATTCAAATCACTAGATGGAATTTCTTATGTTTCAATTTTTTCTTAAACTTTATTATTTTAAATTTTCGTAACGTTTCATAACTAATGAATCCTTTTTGTACACTCGGTTTTTAACCACCAAAACTTAAGGATGATCATTTTTAGGTAATTTCTTCAAAGTTTGGTTTTAAAAGAGGTTATTTCTAATCATTTCAATGAAACGTAATTTGCCAGCTACTTAATTCAAACTAACAACTGGGAGTGAATGTATAGTAGTATCCCGTCCACGGACCTATGATGATGAATACTTCTAAGGTCGATCTATCCATTTAATATGGTAGTGTACTATACTTTTCATATGTAATGTTCTAATTATTTCAATTAATAACCAGACTAAGGGAGCTATCTTGCAGTACTCATTACGTGGAAATGAATTGATTTAGAAAACCTACAAATTGAAGTTGAACAACGAGAAGAAAAGAAATTTAATTAAATTAAATTTCAGAACTCAAATGGATAAAATCTGTAAGTTCTACCAAAATGGGAGATGCTGGCGAGATAAAGCATGTAGATTTAGACATGTCCTGATGGCAAAAAAAGAACCTAAGGAAAGAAGAACTAGATCTCCTGATAGATCTGATTATCAAAAGTAAGATTGAAAGAAGATTATCGATCAAAATTAAGTAAAAATTTTTTAAAAAAGTTATGGAAAAAGAAACTTAAAAGAGTGGTTTTTAAAATCATTTTAAATCATTTGAATAATACAAAATATCTATAGGAGCCAACTAGACCAGGAGTACATCAGTTCCAGACTAAGGACTGGGTCTAAAGATAGAAGAAGAAAAATGGAAAATCCTAAGTAAGAAAAACTACTTAATCTAAACTGGCGCCGTGACAAACTCCTGAATGACAAACTCCGGAATGACAAACTCCTGAAAGACAAACTCCGGAAAATACAAACTCCTGAAAGACAAACTCCTGACGAGACAAACTCCTGACGAGACAAACTCCTGAAGAGACAAACTCCTGAAAATAAAAAATTCTGAAATACAAACTCCAAAATTGGAGTTTGTCTTTCAGGAGTTTGTCTTTCCGGAGTTTGTCATTCCGGAGTTTGTCATTCCGGAGTTTGTCATTCAGGAGTTTGTCACGGCACCATCTAAACTGGAAAAAATTCAAAAATAGATAATAAACTCATAGATTTAAATCTTAAGTTTTTAAATCAAAATCCTAAAAAATAATATTGCAACTTCAATTTCTATAGGCAAAAAACTGACTCAAGAATGAGGCGTGAACATTCGACATTCCAGAACCTAAGGAATGAATCTAGACATTATAATCAAGACAAGAATGCAAAGAAGTAAGAAAAAACGAGTTTAATCAATCCTTAGGCTTTAATATTTAATAACTAGGAACTTATGAAATTAGTTAAATATACTTCAATGGTATACTTCAATGACGAATATTTCAATTGAATTACTTGATATTTTTTGAAATTTTTTTAAAATTTTTTGGAAATTTTTTAAAAAACTATTTTAAGTTGAGTAATAAATCGAAAATTTATTCTTTCAATTCATTAAATTTTACAGAATTGTCTTAAACGAATCGGAATTAACTTCGATGAACGTAATTATATATAAAAGTAATTTTCGAAATACTTACTAATATTACTTAAGGTACTCTGGTGATCAAGGAAATTCAAGAAGAGACATAGAGGAAAATCCAGATCGTCATCCTGATGAAAGAGATATTGACGTACGAGATAGGCCTCGTAATAAAGTCAAGGAAGAACAAGTAATTAAAACTGATTATTCAAATTCTTCTAAATCAAGGAAACCAGAACATGGAAAAACCCGGAAACCTGGATCAATCTTTTGTGTATGTAGTATTCAAACATACGAGAATGGAATGCTATTATGTAAAACCTGTGACAGGTTCTCTCACGCTGAATGTTATAGAACAGATGATTTAGCCAAAGAACACATATGTGGTGGATGTGCAGTTAAAACTGGAGTAAACTGCTCAAATCCAGAAATTCAAAACTTCTTGTCTAAGCAGGATCAAACTCAAGAAGAGAAAACAACGTTCGTTTTTGATCTAGCTGTTAGAAGAGTCCTCAATTTAATTCTATGAGAAGAGTTTAAACTAACCCAACCAGGAATAGAACCGAGTGTAAGCTTCCTAAAAATTAAATTTGGAATATCAAGCTCCTACGCAAATAAAATCCTCGTTCACATCTTTAAATCCGGGTTCATAACTCTGTTCGGTGGTTTCAAGATGGATGAAGAGATGATCAGGAATTACACCATGGGAACTCATGATGATTCTGGGTTTATCGAAAGTAATGTTAAATCAAAAGAAGACGAAGATCAAGATACAGAAGAAGAGAAAAAGATTAATAAATCTAGTCAAGGAGAAAGCACTCAAAAGATTAGTGATCCTGATACAGATAAAACCGTTTATTCGGAACATGGGTACAGGAAGAAGTTCATGTGGCCAGAAAGCTATGTTAACAGGGAATCAAGGAAGGATTCAGAACCCTTGGAGCCTATAGAACCAATGGATATTGGTAAAAGAAGTGTACGACCGTTCTTTGGACAGATAGTCAAGAATCTTGGTCCTAGACTCAATTCTAATGAAAAGAAAAGCTGGAATCTCTGTTTCAAGATCGAAAGAAAAGGTGAATCAGTTCAAGTTTGGTCATTTGGAACAGAGCAAGAGATTAAAAATCTTAACAAAAAGATTAAAATCGATTCGTATATGGTGTTCTGGGGGAACTACACAGTAAGTCCTAAAACCTCAAACAACCTCTATCCTACTTCAGACTGGGTTGTTAAAATTCCAGCAAAGCTTAACTGCTTAGAAACAGTGAAGCTTATAGTTTCAAAAACTCAACTTTCGGCTTCAGGAGTTTCTTCAATAGATCCTACCAAGGAAAAATTTTCCTCACAATTTGAACAGGCAAAGAAGATATCTGCGAAGAAACGTAGAGAAGAGCATTCCTATGAAGATAAAAAACGAATCAAGTTGGAAAAAACTCAAAAAAGATGACTGAGTATTTTAAAGATGATACCGAACTTGACCTTCATTACGAATCTAGCGGAAGTTCAAGAACAGAACCACCTACATCTTCTCCTATTCCACTCAGATCGTCATCAAGATCCCCACCATCATCAACACCTTCACCGAGAATTTCTCCAACTTATTCAGGAGACACACTTCCAGTGAACTCTTTTGATGATTCTGAATAATACCTATTTAAAGCTTAGTTCGTATTTTACTCTTAATTTTAAATGTAGTTTCGCAAGTTTTTTAAAAAAGTTTCTTTAAAGGACATCCCCTTTAGAAGCAATAGTGTCCAATTTTTCAATTTACTCAAGTAACTTAACTTCATGTTTTTATAAAACTTCATTTATTTACCTGCTTTTATATTCAGGAAAGATCAATTCAAACCAATTAATATTGAGTTAAGTTAAAAGTCGAAATAAAATAAATAATATACAGTATACTTTTGTTTTATCTAATAGTAATTTAATTTCAGAAAACGTGATTCATTTTATAGAGCTGATATATGCTTTTATATCGGTTACCAAGTTCGGGATAAGTTTTGAGCAGAAAAGCGACTTGAAGCAGTTAGATTTAGAACTGAACGCTATTTTCGAGGAAATCACCGCTAAATATATAAATGGAGAACTAATCCGGGTTATATCATCAGGTAAAGAATTTAGAGAAAACTGGAAAACTTTTTATTCTCAAATGGAAGACGACATTCAAACCATGGATTATGGAACAAGAATACGTAATTGTTTGGCTATTAAATCAATCCACACCAAGACTTTATTATTAAATTGTGAACAGCAAATTATTCATACATTTGAAGATCACTTAATTAAATGCCTCTATGCGTCAATGAAAAAATACGCAGAAAATGAACTAAGCAAAATTAAAAAATCTTTGTCAGAAAAGAATTTTTTTTATATTTCAAATGAAAACCTTGGAGAAAGCATTATAGATAGCTTGAACTTAGGAAAAAAATACACTCCTAAAACAAAGTATAACATAAAATCTGAGATTTCAAACTTTAATAAGGAAGTGGGAAAGATTCTCGAAAACTTTCTATTGCGAGAATTCAGTCTTAACACAAAAATAAATTCTGGTAAAGTAGCTCAATGGTTTCAGAAAACAACTAATCATGTTAATTCAAAACCACTGTTTGAATTTTTAACAGGTGCTGAAACTGCTTATAAAAAAGAGTTGAAAACTTTTAAAAATCAACCATATTTAAATAAATCCAAATTAAACAATCTCCCAAATGAAACCTTTTATAGAAAAGCATTCGAAACCAATTCAAAGTTAATTATACTTGAAGGGGATAAAAATGTCGGGTATGTTTGTATGTATCTATCTGATTTACTGAAACAGTACGAAAAAATTAATATTCAACAGCACTTTGGAAAAACTACAATAGATGAAAAATGGTACATAGAAGGTATTATAAATTTCATTAAAAACGCTTTAAGAATTTACCAAATGAGCTCAGTGCTATAATTAAAAAGTCAGACTTCAACATTAAAATTAAAAACCCCGAGATTGGGGTACTAAGACTCCAACCAAAAATCCTAAAATTAAAGCAAATAAACTATTCAAATGTCGAAAAACTAACGTCAAGAGGAATAAAAAGTTCTATGAATGACCCAATAAAAGTGATTCAAAAAATATTAGATAAAATTTTTAGCCATTTGCTATTTTATATTGAACAAGAATTTCACAATAAGTTTTCAACATGGTCGCCTTCTGTAAATGGATTACAAGAAGCCATCAATAGAATTAAAAAATCTAAAGTTGGAAAATGGGGATCCTCCATAGAAATAGAAGGGGACTTCACTGATCTATATTCAAACTGTAAAAAAGAGTTACTAATTGAAAGTGTAACAACTGCAGCAAAATTTGCTAAACTTCATGAAAGCTCAGTCAAATATATAGCAATGTTAATAGAATGTATCATGAATCATTCCTATTTTAAACAGCCAACAGGAACATATAAAACTCTCAATGGGTTCTCCATGGGTGATTGTTCCGCAGCCAGGGGAAGCGAATTAATTCTAAGAATTTCTGAACTTAAAATTTTTAAAATACTGCGAAATGACAAAAACCTCACTAATATTACAAAATATCTCAAGTTTAGAGATGATGTCTCTATACATCTAACTGGGAGCTTCAAAGAAATGATGAATGCCATCAACACAATCTGTACTGGGTATCCCAAAGAGATCATCTTCAATATGGAAACCAAAATTATCCGAGGTAAATTCTTGAATATCAGAGTTATAAACTTTCCAAAACAGATCAACCCAATGACATCAGTTTTGAGAAAACCAAATAATAAATATAATATAACTCCGCCAAAATCAAATGTTAGTTGGAAATTTAAAAAAATGGCGGGTGTCAGCTATTTTCACACAGCAAGAACACATTGTACTGATAAAAAAGAGTTACAAAACCAATTACAAATAGTTCGTTGTATACTTGAACTCAAAGGATTCTCAAAAAATCAAGTTAAATGCATGGAACTACACAAGAAAAAGGATAAACCTCACCAAAGTAAAAAATTCATATCAACAATTAAGTACAATGAGTGCTCAAATAGGCATGTACATATTAAAAATTTTGTTAGAAATATTCCAATAAACCTGGAAAAATACTACATGCCAATGGATATCCCGGACTCTAAACTGGAACAATTTGTTTTTACCATAAAGAAAATGCGGAAAAAA